AAGCAGATTTTGTGTGGATCATCGCTAAAAAGTGGGAAATTGATATGAATAATCTGCCAAATGTACCTTTTTGCAGGCAGTGTGTGTGTGAAGTAAAAGACCTGCAATACACTCTATGCAAATTCAGATGCTGCCATCGCAGTACAACAGCAACACCTTCGTTTATTGATATCGCACTGATCATTCAGACAGTGCAGCCAAACCATAATAAAGTTCAATGTGATATTAATGAGAGCTCCAACATACAGGAAACGTTGGACACCAAGTTCCGACAGAGATTCGGCTCAGCTAGTTAGCAATCTACGAGATGATTAGCATTTGGAACTTGATCTGTTTGAGTAGAGTGTACAGGGCGAGAGAGATGAACAGACTAAAGGACTAAAGCCCTGCTGCATCGTTCTGTTTAGGTAGAGATAAAATCCAACTAGAAGGCTAAATCCTACTGGTGCCACTATCAGTGAGTAGTCAATCAGCATTGTTGGTACTGTAGGAAACCATTATCCAAAGTGAAAATAGACCAACATGCTGATGAAGAAGTTTATATTTTTAAAAATTGACTTTGAATTTTATTATACAATAAATCTTGGACACCATTGAAGATCACATGTTAATTATGAAGTCGTTCAGGGTGTATTTTCCTTCAACGATACTTTCAAATTGCTGTACATATTCTAAATATTCCGAGTCCTGTGTGCCTCAGTCCTGTCCAAACAACAACAACAACAACAACAAACACCAGGGTCCTCTGTAAGAGTGGTCCTTTGCATTATTGACAGTGTGTCCTTGTTAACTCTATACCAAACACTCTCAGTTGTTAATTATTAGTTTCTCCACAACTTCTACCCCAGCCACAAATGCACAATCCCTACTACTCATACCCTGAATTACAGACACATTGTATTTTACCTTTCATTAAATACTATAACTGTGTGTTATATTCATATTCGCTTCATATTTCCCAATGCCCAAACAATACTACACTTCATGTGTTGTAACCATTCCACGTTCAGACCTCAGATATAGACAATATAAATTTATCAAATACTATGTTCAAATGTTCTATAGCATTGCTAGAAAGGGGGAGACTAGAGGGTTCATCACTGTTACGTTCTCACATAGACACAATTTTAAATGCATACATTTAATAAAAGCTTACATTTTTAAGCTGATCTGAGGTAACTTCTAATCAGCTAGCCTTTTTACACTTTTTTTCACATTGTTTAATGGTAACAAATGGTAACAATGGTAAACACAATGTTCTCATTTTTACCTTATGAATACTGTGAAGTTCTAATTGCTATAATTTCCCTTCTGTTTCAATCTGCAGTTGCTAAAGTAAATATAAAATGGTACTGCATCATGGGGGCTGCTGGGGTCATGTCCCCAGACTCAGGCTCACTCCAGGATATATCTTTGCTCTGAAGGCCATATAAATTATACACAACAGCAAAAAGGACACATATAGTCTGAGGGAAAAAGGGCATGGGTTCAAGCAGCCCTAGGGCCTATCTGTGCGCGTGCCATGCAATACGTAAAATGCAATGTATAAAAGTTTCAGTAGTTAAAAGTTCTGATTTTTTTTCTATCTCAGGCTTGATGGATCTCTCAGAATGAGCAAATAGCACCAATCACCCATGAGACACCATTACCCACTCACAGTTCAGGTTATAAGGGCAGAGCTATCCCTTCATGTGTCACGTGTTTTGTTGCCACAGCTCATCCAATGTGATTTCTGGTTCTTTATCCATATGATGCATACTGTGCAAGAATTTCAGAAAAATCAGTTCATGACTTAAAGAAACAAACACAGCAGAGATTGATCACCCTTCAAGATTTCATGTATGTCAGAAATTCATACAAATTTCCGAAAGATCAATCAGACACTGTTTGGGCAGTTAACTGAGCAATGCAGCCGAGTCTGCTCCTGAATATCATTGACAGCCAAGTTTTGTTTTAAAATGTGCTCAAATTGTACAGTGTGGGCCGATCTTCAAAGCGTTTTGCAGACTCTATGACTGCTCAAACCACCATTAAGCTACCAAAAAAAAAAAGCTGCCAAATATTATTAGTCCTGTTCCTGCAAATCCATTGAATATGATTACGCTGTAGGGGGTTCCTTCTTCACAGAGCCTCTATTTTAGATAAGACATGGGTAGACTTAATCCTGAAACATCTGATGGAAGTCAGTATTTATGTTCTTCTGATGTAAAGCACAGAAGTGGGCATCTGCCCTGCTTAAGGAGTGACTTAAATATGTTATGACGGTGCATGACTTATTCTCTTGACTTATTCAATGACTTATTTATTATTCCATAATGAGTTTGGCACTCCTTTGGAGAATTCTTCCAAAGAATGTTTGGACAGAGGGCTAAAACAATCTGGCTTCATTTCTCAGCTCATGTGCCAAGACCACATGGAGCTTTCTGCTGCTAAGTCACAGCAAGGGTCCTCTTATGGTGGGTGACTTCTCTGATGGCAATGTCAAAAGGTTTTTGACAAAACTTTTTGATAAAACTTTTTCAGTGTCCTCACAATTTCTGTAAATTATTAGTAGTAGTAGTAGTCGTAGTAGTAGTATTTAAAAAATTTATTTATGTATTTAGTTATAATTTTTATTAATACAGAGAGGACGATTCACTTACAAAAGGCTGCATACAAAGCAAATAAGGCCTTCAAATACATGACAATCTTGTCAAACAAATTGATTACAAAACAAGTTATGACACAGATGTCTAATCAAAGGGCCATGCCAATCATATTATCAAATTTACCAAAAAGAAAGGAAGATGAATCTGAAGCCAATCTGAACCCATCATCCTCCTCATCCGCCTCACCCCTCCCCATATCCCAGACTCACTATCACCCTGAACCCAACCACCCCTGACCCTATAGGTGATCAAAAAGTTTACAAAAAGTTTTAATGCAATAGTTTTATCCTAGAGTGAAAGACTTTCCAGGCTGGCAATATCTATAAACTCCATCAGCCATCTTGTGTACTTTAAAAAAAAAAAAAAAGACGAAATTTCCCATCTAGAAGGTTACAGTTTTGTAGACCACTTAACCAAATATGTTTGTGATTTCTTGAGAAATCTATATTGGAGCTATTGATAAGCAGACAAACACTGAGAGAATATGAAATCTGTTCAGCCAGTAGCAAGGATAATAGATGGAAACAATCTTCCAGAAAACAACTCCCGATAACCTGGTACCCAGGTGGTTAAGTTGTCTTGAAGATAAATAAGTTCTGTCAAATGATTTCAAGCTATTAATTCTCACTGCTAAATCTTTTCTCCACAATCTTTCAATTTATAATAGATTACATGAAGGCTGCAAAAGGAGAGTACCTAGAAGAGGATATGTTCCCTTTTGAGTCTGGTTCCTCTCAAGGCTTTGTCCTCATGTCGTCTCCGGATGTTTTTCCTTGCCACTGTAGCCTCTGGTTTGCTCATTAAATAAATGGTTTGCACATAAATAAAATTTACTTGAATATATAATGCCGAGACAAAACCCCCTCAGTAAATTCATAAAGCAATTGGAGATACTGTCGAAGAAAAAGGAAGTGTCACAGAAACTTTCTGAATGGCTAGGAATGAGCGGAGACCATTTTCCACAAAGACCAGAAACTGTATAGACACTGTTATTGGGCTGTAAAAGAAAGGAAATTGTTCTCCCAGATGAAGACCAACATTATGAAAAATAGCTGAATAACAGTGCCACCCTGAGCAAATTGTAAAATGTATATCTGCAAGATTACAAATTCAAAGACAAATGAACCAAAATTTTCTTTTGGACTGTCAAGAAGAAATATTTTAAGAAATATGAACAAAGTCACAATCTCTGAGGATGAACAATGATTTCTGCAATAGGACACCAGAGTGTCAAGGTTCAACCAAGAAGTACTACCCTGAGAGTAGTACTATTAGAAGTTTACTAAACCCCCCCAAAGGTTTTCTACCTCTTCAGAATTGATATTTTAAGTCTTTGTGACCCACACAAATATAGATGTTAGACAGTGAGTTTTATTCCAGTAGCCCTTAGGCAGAGACAGAGAAAGCATTAAAAAAAGGATAACGAATTTATATCTGGAAGGATATTCATTTTTATAACAGGAATAGGTGAATGAAATGAGAAAGTAATTTCTTAAAGTTGGCAATGACAGTACTCGTTATCCTAAATATTTTAAGTATTGGAGCACAGGAATATTAAAAAAAGGCTGCTTACCTGAATTATTTACTGGAAGTAATACTAATTTTCCCCAATTTATATGTATATGTAAGATCTGACTAAAATAAAAGGTTTGAAAGAGATCAGGGCATAAGGCTAAATATAGTGTCACAGGCAATAAGCACATTAATAAGATCATGACATACTGATTGTAGAACATCCTGAGGAAACAGAAAAATAAAAGGGAACGAGGACAGAACTTCTAGATGTAGGAATCTGAGCAGAACATATCTCATTACTATTGCTGTCAGATCGATAAAAGTTATCGCCAAAGCCCATATTGTGCATAACCACCCATAAGAAGTGCTACTCAAGGTGATTGAAAACCTTGAAGAGTCATCGGAAGCTACATTGACATGCAGAAGATAGTGAACATTATCTGACGTTAGTTCCGTTTGGTCGCTCCATGTTGAGAATCAATAAAAGGCCATAGTTTAAACATTTACTAGGGACTTTCCCTTATCTAAGTAGCACAGAAATTAAACCAGTTCATTTACCTATTTGGTAAATGAACTATTTGTAATATCTGAATTCATGTTTTCTAATAAAATGGGACCAATTTCAGGTACAAAAGTGAATAAAATTCCAGTGGTATTCCATCTAACCATGTAGACTTACATTTATAAGTCTATACAGATTAGAGCTTGGTAAGATAAGATAAAGATAACATGTACCTTTATTGATCCCCTGTAGAGGAAATTTAAGTTTTAAGTAACACAGCAGCACAAGTAGGAGAGTAACATCAAAGAATAGAAAATAAATATAAAGGCCTCCTTTGGAGATGCTGGGATTTGAATGCAGGACCGCATACACGCAGAGTATGCACTCTACCACTGAGCTACATCCTACAGGTACAGCTCAGCCAAGGTTAAAGGGGCACTTAATGCAAGGCAGCATCTTCCTGAAGATGAGAAAGCTGTAGAGGATTCAGAGATGATTCAGAGAAGAATCAGAATTTAAGCATACGCTCGCCAGTCACTTTATTAGAACACCTGTATACCTGATCTTTATGCAATTATCCAATCAGCCAGTCATGTGATCTCACTGACTTTCTCACATTCCACTTTAACCATGGCATGGTTGTTAGGGTCAGATGGGCTGGATTGAGTATTTCAGAAACTGATGATCTCCTGGAATTTTCACACACGACAGTCTCTAGAGTTTACCCAGAATGGTGTGGAAAACAAAAAATCCAGTAAGCAGCAGCTCTGTGGGTGGAAATGCCTTGTTGATAAGAGGTCAGAGGAGAATGGCCAGACTGGTTTAAGCAAATCAGGACACTGGAAGGAGACTGTAAGTTACGTGATTTTAGTTTTACAGCAAGTAAGTGACTTGGTAGTGCACTGTGCAAATAAAACTTTTGAAAACCAGCAGTACAAGCTCTGGTCATGACAGCATAGCAGGGATCCTAGTGCTTGGAGGTAAAGTCACTGTAATCTGTAGCAAATGTAAGAACCACTATCAATTTCTACTGCCACTTCTACTGCCAACTTCTCCTTGCCACTTAGACAAGGAGGGGTTATTAAATCCTGTACAGGAACATATGCAGGGCCCCTTTTCTGACCTGGCCAAACCTGGCCCATTAAAAAAAAACTTTCATCCACCAATTTGTCCAGCTTTTTAACAAGCTTAACTCAGTGGCCAGCAGTAACAGCATGTTGAGTCTTCTTTAGTCCTGACCATTGGGGAAAATGAACTCCCTAGCTTCTCTTTCAATTCAATTCAATTTTATTTGTATAGCACTTTTAACAAAGCAGTCACAAAGCAGTTTTATGGAAATAAATAGATTCAAATTAAATTAAACCAAAATAAATTGTAAATATGTGAATTTATCCTTTTTAAGTTTTATTTTCTTAGTATGCGGTTACTCTTATCCATGTTTGTTTGTTTGTTTGTTTTTTGACTATTTGTTACAATCTTAGACCTAATAACAGTTATGAATTTATTACAGATTCTCACTGTCTCACATTCTAAGAACTCAATGATGTTGATAGGTGTGGTGTGACAGCATGATGGCCAATCAGTCGAATTATTCAGTTTAATTCTGGGCTTCTTGAGGACCTCCTAGTACCCAGGACCCCTAGTCACATGCCCAATAGGCCCAATCTATGCCTGTGCTCAGAGGATTTAGACTCCATTAGTGACTTAGACATTTAAAAATAAGAGGTCTAGATGAAGGTGAATTCTTCTTGCCAGTACAGTGACCTCACATAATCTCCACTGGGGCCTGGACAGAGAAGGGGAGCCTATCCTGCACATTTGAAATGACATTATTCCCTTCAGAGCTTCCTTTAGCCCCAAGATTAAGTTATCCTGGCACATTCTGTCCTCCATCACAGCCATCTTTACCTCAATTTAATCCAGCATTTTTCTCAAAGTTCCCCAAAAAGACAAAGTTAGATTTTTCTAAATTGCTCACTGTTTTTTTTTTTATTTTTAAGATTAGTTGAGTCATTTCTGCTGGATGTCAGATTGCATATTTCTTTCTCATTTGTTGAAGCGCTGATTGAATTTTAAGTCTACACACTGAAAATGTCCACTGCTGCCAACAGTGTATCCATAAATGCAAAAGATCTGATTTCTCACTGGAAAATGTATCCTGCTTTTTGCTGTTTTTTTGTGTGTCAGTCTGACATAATTAAATCTTTGAATATTGCAGTGTGGGGTAAAAAGGCATAACAAGTTTAATAGAAATAAATGCTAATAGAAAGTCAAGCATGGACTCACTATGCAGCCATCTTGTCACATGACATCCCATTAAAAAATCATGTAGGTAATTATCTGCTGTGATTTTTATTATTATTTTTTTTTTTGCCAGCACAAAATGAAACCATTTTAATACGGCTATAATTTTAAATCTCTGTGCCATCTCAAAATGTACTGTCCTTAGTTCAATAAAGGAACACATATTAAGCTTAAACTGAAAGCTTAAGCTTCCTTTTCCAGAAGAAAAGGAAATAACTATTGGTTTTGCTCTTGCCATAGACTTCAGATTACATCCTGCAGTATCTGGATAAGGTCACCTTTCATCAAGCGCTGCGTTTTGACTGCTTATCAGAAATATTCCCTATACAGAGAGTGGTGCTGCCAGGGCCTAGCCACTGAAAGCAGGACAAAAGCAAGAGGACGGGGGGACAGAACCTTCATGCTAGGCTTACTGCTGTGTACACATATTGATTTGATTAGACCACAACTGTATGTTTTATTGGCCATTAGACAGGGATGGATGGTGCCGGTCGGAAGAGAAGATTGCCTTTTGTCTTTTGCTTTGGTAGCGTTTTATTACACCCGTTTATCTATTGCTTAATTTGGTTCTACGTGTCTGTTTCTGCAAGATGGAGAACCTCTCTTTGTGTGTGTGTGTGTGTGTGTGTGTGTGAGAGAGAGAGAGAGAGAGAGAGAGCGCATGTGTTTAGGAAAAGAGAGAATTTCTGAGGGAGTATGCTTTCTTTCACTCTTTCTTCTTGTGTATCACTGAGATAGAAAGTGTTAGAGTGGAAGAGAGAAAAAGAGTGAGAGAGAGCACATGTATTTAGGACATGAGAGAACCTGTGTTCCTCCTTTCTTTTTCACTCTTGAGAGAGCATGCTTTCTTTCTCTTTTTACCCTTGTGTGTGTGTGTGTGTGAGAGAGAGAGAGAGAGAGAGAGAGAGAGAGAGAGTACATGTATTTAGGATATGAGAGAACATATGTCCCTCCCTCACTCTTTTGTCTCTTTGAGAGCAAAGAGAGCATGTTTTCTCTCTTTAAAGAGAGAATGTGTGAGAGAGTGAGAGAGAGAGAGAGAGAGAGAGTGATTGAGATCAAGAGAGTGAGAGAGAGTGAGATTGAGTGTGTGTGAGAGAGAGAGTTTAGCACATGAGAGAACCCATGTCCCTCCTTCTTTCTTTGTTGCTCCTTCTGAGAGAGCATGCTTTCTTTTTCTGTGTGTGTGTGTGTGTGTGTGTGTGTGTGTGTGTGAGGGAGAGATTAGGAGAGAAAGGTGGAGCAAGAGCAGCTGTGTTTAGGACATGAAAGAGTGTGTGTGTCTCTCTTTCTTTTAGGCTCTTCTTTCTACACATATATGAGAGCAATGAGTTTTCTTTTTCCTTGCGTGTGTGCGTCAGAGAAAGAGAGAGAGAGAGAGCAAACCTGAAGGTTTCTTTAAAGATCTTAGAGAGATAAAGAGCAAACCCTTTATGTGTTTCCTCACCTTTCTTTTTTTTTTCTCTGTCTATCTCTGTCTTTCCATGTGCACTTTTATTTGCACGGCCATGCAGTAATTAACTAGGAGTGTGAATTGACTTAGACAGTCAGTAGTAGCGCTGTACACTCCTGGCACATGATGCTAATTCCTTCAAGTGAAGCTTTGCATTTTAATGATGACTGAGCGTTCACGCCACCTTGAGGCAATTAGAGGGAGCATCAGCAGCCAAATTCAGCCAATTCGAAATTTTCTACTGGACAGCAAAGTTGTTTACAGCTGCCTTAAACTGAAACTCAAGAAAATTCACCATCCACTGGAGGTATTTTATTGTTAGAAGATAGCACCAAAAGAAGGCTCTTACATACAGTTAAAGCAAAAGAGAAGCTCTATGAGCTCCAAGCTGTGGTATGTAACAATTACAGATACAACTTTTTAAACTTATTGTGGCCTCGCTGCAAGAAAAATATTTATCGCATGTTTCTCTGCATTACAAAATCACTCTAAAGCAAGAGAACTATTGTCATATAATGACATGACATGATTTTTTTGACATGATTTTTTTTTTTTCAAATTATTCATTTATCATGTGATTTTTCATGTGATGTTTTGCATGATTATTTTTATTCATGTGTTACTTTTTTTTTCAGATGATTCATTTATTCATTAATATTTTTTTCCCCCACATGATTTTTTTCATATGTGATTTTCTTGCATCTTTTTTTTTTCAGGTTTTATTTTTTTAGCTGCCGTGCATGTTTTTATTTTTATGTGATTTTTTCATGATTATTTTTTCCATGTTGTATTTCACGTGCCCTACATGTGTTTTTTCCCCACATCTGATTTTTTCATTTTTTATTTTTATTTGCCATGTTATTTTTTCCTGTTATGATTGCCATTTTTTTGTTTATTTGTTTGTTTATTTCCATGTGATTTTCTTACATTATTTTTTTTGTGCATTATTTTATCACAAGTGATCCCCCACACACACATTATTCATTTTTCACGTGTGATTTTCTCAGATGATTCATTCATTCTCACATAATAATCCTTCACATGTATGGCATTTGGTTTTATTTTTCACATCACGTGTGTACTTGAATTCGCCTGCAATGTCATGGCAATTTCAGGCCATAACAAGATGAATTGCACCTTCACATTAACAACACTTCTCTTTTTTAATAGGAATAGGTGACTTTACCATAAAAAGGTTTCAGCAGACTGGAAGAACAAATGAAAATCCGATTGCCCTTGCAAGACCTTTAACCCCACAGAGCACCTGAGGGACGATCAGGATCCTAACAACAAGAACAGACGTGACTTTCTACCAGTAGCTTTATCAGATTCTCTGCAGGAATGTGAGAACATCCCAGAACATCTCATTAGTACTGTATGATGTTGCCGTTGTCATGTTCTGGGTTCACTTTCATTTGTTTATTCTCATTATTTATACAGTGAAGCTTAACATTTCTTTTTTTCTTTTTTATTTTTTTTGCCTATAGATTCACTAGAGATTACAATGAGCTAAATTCCACAGCCTTCACCTACATAACAGTCAAATAATAAAATTGTATCAGGATTATCGTAAATGTACAGTATACGAACAATTAACATTCACACTGCAAGGTGTTTGTTTATTCAAGAGGCGATGATACATTGACACAC